ATGTTTTTCCCTCTTGTGATGTTAATGCTCTTAATCTGTCTTTTATACGCTCTCCTTCTACTATAACCACTTCTAACGTTACCAATCTTGTAGCTGATAACTTCCAGGACTTCAATACTCTCGATGTTTTGAAATGTCTTAAAACTCTTAAGCCCTCACATAGTCTTGGCCCTGATAGCATACCTGCATATGTTCTAAAACAATGTGCAGATGCTTTATGTTCTCCTCTAACTAATATCCTAAATGCTTCTTTCCGTGAAAACGTTGTACCTGTTCCATGGAAAGACATTAAAATAGTCCCTGTCCCTAAACCTGGCAATAGCAAGAACGTAAAGTTCAGACCCATCGCCATCACTTCCCCGTTTCTAAAGCTCATGGAAAAACTAGTACTTCTTAAACTCGAACCCTCCCTTAAAAGCTTCGAAGACCCCAAACAATTTGCCTACAGACAGGGTAGGAGTACTTTAGACGCTGCAGCCGTCTTACACAACAGTATTATCTCATCATTAGACAAAGGTGCCAAATATGTCCGCTGCACGTTTCTTGACTTCACTTCTGCTTTCGACTCTGTACCTAGAAGTCTCTTGCTAAATAAGCTCTCCATGACACAAACCGAGTCCTGGGTCACTAACTGGTTGCATTCCTACTTTTCAAACAGAATGCAGTACACCGTATACAAAGGCAATCCTCCTCTGCTGTGCTCACTGAAGCTGGTGTCCCCCAAGGTGCTGTACTCTCCCCACTTCTCTTTTCTTTCTTTCTACATGACCTACCGTCTTCAAATGACATTAACTTTGTCAAATATGCTGATGACCTAACTGTATCTTTACCTGTCAAATGTCAAAGTGACTGCTCTAAACTAAATGGCTTCTTATCGGAAATTAGCCAATGGTCCAAGGAAAACGGTCTAACCTTAAACCCCTCCAAATGCCAAACAGTTAATTTCACCTTTAGGCATAAATCTGACCTAAACAAACTGGTTAGCACTCACGAGGTGTGCAACATAGATGGCACTGAAATAGAAACCAAGTCGGAAATTAAATACCTAGGCGTCACTCTATCTTCTGATCTTTCCTGGTCGTCTCATATCTTGACGATTTCCAAGAAAATATACCGTCTTACCTTCTACATCAAGAAGTTAAGACATTCTGGTGTAACCCAACCCTTACTCCTACAATTTGTTAACTCCCGTATTCTGCCTATTATTCTCTATTGCTCCCCCTTAGTCTTTCCTGGGCTATTGAAGAAAGACTATACCTTATTACGTAGGATGTTAAAGGTTGTCAGCAGGGTAAGCAGTTTGCCACTTAGCCAGCTAGTTAATATTCTGGTGGACAGGCATATGGACTCATGTGAAAAATGGGCGAAATCCATTTTATCTGACTCACAACACCCTCTACATTCACAACTCTCCCCATGTATCTCTTCAGGGAAAACAAGAAGCCTATATAGGAAACTATATGCCCGCACTAGTAAGTACAAAAACTCATCCATACCCTACCTAGCTCGTGTTCTGTGCGATAAAGAATGCATCAGGCATGAAACCTTTAACTTATTAAATAGTCAGTAGAACCAATGGATCTCGTCTTTCCAACTCACATCATTTATAGGTACAACGTTTTCTCTCTCTTTTCCTTCTCTATTTATTTTTGTTATGTGCTGTTTTGTTTCTCTCTTCCTTGCAAACTCTACTTAAAACATTCTTGTTCGTTCTTTCACACTCTGTACATCTCGAACATTTTGCTATCGCTTACGCCAGTAAATATGCTAGTAGTATCTACTTTTCTAACACCTTCAAACACTTTAATTTTGGCTTTGCTACCGACATACTAATATGTTGTTGAGATAACTTTAAACTATGTAGAACTTTATTTATTGTTAATGTAAAAAACTGGATGCAATATTGTAGTAAAATGCTGAGAATTCCATTCTGTATCACAAGTACTGATTTGGAATAAAGCTTATCTTATGTTATGTTATGTTAACACTAAAAATCCTGGGAGTGTTGGATAGTAGTTTCGTCGGCAATAGTTTGGGTCTCTTCAGAAGAACCTTCGCACTTGGGTTTAAACCTTAAAACTTACCGATTACAAGATGAGCTCGTAGACCATTAAGCCATTGGGAGCCAAGCCAACGCTTCGTGAATTCTAACTTCTGCCAATTCGTGATATATGAACGAACGTTTATACCAAGATTATATGGCTCACCTACAGTGCACAAAAATGGTGTACCGCTTCGACCAAAATAGGAAGGAGAGAAGGGATAGACTTATCACCTATATGACAAACTCTAATGAAGCAAGACAGATGAAAAAACAAAAAAACCTCTATGAGCCTCCATGACCTTTTAAAAAATGTATTATCATGTACATCACATGTGAATTGACGTCTTTTCCATATAACTTATAACTTACACACACACACGCTCATACAAAACTAATCCTTACAAAAGAACTATAGAAAAATATACACAGCCTCTTCATACCGAGTTGGTGAAACACAGTGTAAAGGATACTTTTGGATTTGTTGAAAGGATAAAAGATTTAAATGTTGACAATAAATTCATGATATCATTTGACGTATCTTCCTTATTCACAAATGTGAAAACAGTGGATTTTGTATGCGAAGAACTCATAAGACGAAACATCGATGTTGGCATTCCCATATCCTTTATGATATAATTTCACATTTAGTATGCTGTCTGGATTCAACATAGAACTTGGCACCGAAGTGTAGCACTTCGAGTTGCCACCTTCCAAATAGCACACAAAGGTGGACAAGAAGATGAGTGAAGAGAATCAATAGAGTTTGAAAGCTATAAGAGAAAAACAGACTGGCTAATGGTAGAAAGGAATATGAAAGATTACAGAGAGTGAATACATCTGCGCCATTGACAACGATTTCGAGCAATGTCACCTATTGTCTCCAGCCACTGATTCCTAGAGTCAGTCCCGTTGGGCCCCAACCCGGAAGTCTGCATCTCCCTACCTGACTCAGTTTAACTGTCAAGGATTTCATGGATTGATGCCATGTTTTTGTTTGGCCACCACTGGCTCTTTTCCAACCTGCACCTATATCAGCTAGCAATGCCCGTCGGGGGAGGCGATGCTTAAGCATGTGCAGTACGTGACCTAGCCATCTCAATCTATGTAACTTTATAGCCTCGTCGATTGATTTCCCCTCTTTGCCCAACACTCTACGCCTAATGTCAACACTACTTACCTTATTAAACCACCTAACGTGAGACAGAGATCGCAGACATCTATGATCGAAAGCAGTCAACCTTTTCATGTCTTCAACTCATATTGGCCATGTTTCAGAGCCATAGGGAAAGATGGGGCGAACTGTTGAGCAGTACACACGTCCCTTGTTTGATAGCCGGATTTCGTGCCTGCGCCAGAGATGGTATAAGGCAGCGAAAGCAGCTCGAGCTTTTTGTATCCGTGCTGAGATTTCGTCGCCAATCAGTCCGTTGGTGCTGATACAACTTCCCAAATAGGTGAAGTGGTCAACATGTTCTATCACTTCACTCCCTATCACTAAACTAGGAGTTGACGTAGTCCAGTCCTGTAGCAGCCTCTTACATTTTACAGGGACGAATCGCATGCCAAACATACGAAGATTGCTGCTCAAGGTGTTCAGAAGACTCTGAATTTTGTCAGCATCCTCCCCTAACAGGACTATGTCATCTGCATATTCCAAGTCCATAGGATTATTCCCTGGTAACAAGTTGATTCCTAAGTCGTTACGTTCAGTTAAGGATACTTCCATTAGCATATCTATGATGAAGTTAAACAGAAATGGGGAAAGTGGACATCCTTGTCGGACACCACTGGTTGTTACCAATTCAGATGACAATTCCCCATAAGCCCTTACACGACTACATGAATTTGAATAGAGTGCCTTGATTAGTGCAATGTACTTTCTTGGCACTCCCTTCACAGTCAGACATTGCCATAGTACCTTTCGATCCACGGAGTCGAACGTCGCCTTCAAGTCAAGAAATATGACAATTGTTGGACACCGAAAAGTGTGTCTATGTTCTAGAATTTGTCGGAGAGTGAAGATATGATCTATGCACCCTCTACCTGATCTAAAGCCTTCTTGATTTCCCCTCGTTTGTTCCTCCCGAGTTCTGCTTAGTCTGTGCATGATTACTGAGCCTAGGATTTTAGAAACTATTTTCGTTAGGCTGATCCCCCTATGATTATCACACGAGGACTTGTTTCCCTTCTTGAATGTCGGTATAATAAGTGACTTACCCCAGTCTGATGGAACCGTTTCTGATTCCCAGACTTTGCCTAGTACCTCAGTTAATCTACAAACTAGTATGTCACCCCCCACCCTTATTTAAACACCTCCGGAATAATGCCGTCGGGTCCTGTCGCTTTGCCTCGTTTCAAATTACTGATAGCTTTTGTGACCTCACTTACAGACGGCGGACTAGTGTCTATACCCCATTCGGGTGTGTCCTGGATGTCGGGGAGGTTCAGTGTGGCTGTAGGTAAGTTAAATTGTCCCTCAAAGTGTTCTTTCCAGCGTTCAAGGCGTCTATCCTCAGAGCTAATTAAGGAGCCATTTTTCTCCAAGATTGTTTCCCTTATGATTTGCCTTTTCCCACCCGTTACCCTGATGAGTCTAAAGAGCATGCGCGAAATGTAAATGATTATATTTAAGAAATTATTGTGTCTGAATATAGCACATAAATACACAAAGCAAAGAACTAGAGACAAAAAATAGAAGATGAACAATTGAAAAAGTCACAGCAGAACACAAATGATTTTTTAAAAAAATGAATAGCAATCATATTAATAAGCGAAGAACTTCAACCAACATTTGAACATACATACACACATACATACGCGCACGCGCACATGCACACACACACAATGAATACCGGGACACGATTAACATGATAGTACAAGAACACAGTAAAGAAGACTCTTTGAAGAAACTGTCAACACTTAGTTACTACTTCATCCAATTGGAAACTAGAACTTTTTAATCAGACTTCTTGTCTTTGGCACCACCACCTTCTAACATTTGTAGACGGTACTGAAATGAGAAAAGACAAGAAAGAAAGAGAGGATGGGTGAGTGAGTGAGTGAGTGAGTGAGTGAGTGAGTGAGTGAGTGAGTGAGTGAGTGAGTGAGTGAGTGAGTGAGTGAGTGAGTGATAAAACTATATACATACACTACTGACTGATCAAGCTAAGTGAGTGAGATGAGTAGTTGGTTGAGTACCGCTCATGTCATGTCAACCGCAAGTGCTTGCCAGCCAGCCGACCAGATCGATGCGATCTAAACACCACAAGATAGCCGTTTCGCATTATTTGGCAGTCAGTCACAAGCTCATTAGCAACGGTGTGTAGCCCCCTTTTCGACTGAACCAGTTCAAACTAAACTCGATTTTTTTGGCCAGCTACCTGAGCAAATTGGTCATACTAAAAACGAAGACTTGGGGTAAAGGAATATTTATTTGAAATTTGGTATCTCTATATAGCGAAATGATATATGTCTGATTTCCCACAAACACTGGAAGATATGCAAGTGAAGAGCAACAAGTTGGCACAAGAAGCATCAAAAATAGGACTTCAAGTGAACATAGAGAAAACAGAGGTGATGAAGATTCTTGGCCAACACCAACAGCAACAACAACAGACAACAATCAGCCATCAAAAATGGCAGGATTCTGAAGGAAACAACCTCATTTACCCACCTACCTGGGAAGCATCGTCTCAACTACAGGCGGATGGAACTGACGAGGATATCAAAGCAAGGATCGGAAAAGCAAGACAAGCTTGCATTACTCTCAAATCCGTGTGGAGGTCGACAGCACTACTCAGCATCAAAAATAAGATCCGGATTTTCAAATTCAATGTGAAGTCAGTCAATGCTACCATACGGATCAGAGACTTAGCCAGTGCGTCATAAAGAGCATCTCAAACAAACTACAGACCTTCATTAACAGCTGTCTTCGCTCAATACTACTCAAGATCAGATGGCTGGCCAGAAAAGATTAGCAACAGGGATCTCTGGCAATCAGCGAACCAACCCAGCAGGAACCGATTGTTCAACAAATAGGCAGGGACATATGGAGGTGAATTGGCCATACTCTGAGGAAACCATCAAGTGACGTCATTAGACAAGTCTTTGAGTGGAACTCGAAAGGGAGGCGGCGAGTTGGTCTTCAGTGTGAGGGTGACATGGAGGATGTCATGTGAAGGGGAGATGAAAGCATGTAGGCAGACTTGGGGCGGAGTGAAAAAGCTGGCAGAAAACCGAAGGCAATGGAGACGCGTGGCTGAAGCCCTATGTTCCTCTGGGAATTAAAGGATATAATAATAATAATAAATAATAATTCCTTTAACAGGTCTCTCATTTTCTACTGTTACAGATAATGAAGATGCTATGGCCCGCTGCTTTCAAAGAAGGAGACATACGGAGCTTCTTGTTGGACTTTGAAGCCACCTCCGAGTTAGTGGAAGTCAAGGATCCGACGACAAAGGTAGTTGTGCCCGGGACGCTGCTGAGAGGTCGGGTAAAGACAGCGTACGACAGTTTGGAACAGTCAGGGAGGATGAAGACCTGGAAAGCATTGGTCGTTCGACATACAGGCAGCTGGCGATGCAACAGTTCCGTACCGCGAAGCTGGGCCAGACGGACCCCTGCTAGCATCGGCCGTGAAGCTTACAACCCTATCTCCCTGCTATTTGATGTTCTCATACTGATGAACATCTCTTCATACTGATAAATCTTACAGTATCACACGCTACAATAATGACACGGTGTGGAATTTGCAGCATTTGGCACACTATTGCATCTAATAAAATTTAAAACATTTATAAATGTAATATTACAGGATTGTTAATGGCAGTTCTTCTTTGGGATTAGTAGTGACAGTGAAGTCATTATATATACATATATATATATATATACCGAAAAATTGTAAATAATAACAATAAGGTTAATAGCTAAGATCGTCAGTGAATTGAGATAGCCTCACCATAGATTACAAACAGGAGAAAATTAAAAGAGCCAATTATTTTGCTGACAGCATAGTAATTCATAAGTTTCACGCCTTACCTTGCCTCTGTCGCATAAAACACGGGACAGATGTGGTATCGTTGAGTTCTTATCTGGTCTGTCTGTCTGGATTCAACATAGAACTTGGCACCGAAGTGTAGCACTTCGAGTTGCCACGTTCCAAATAGCACACAGAGGTAGACAAGAAGATGAGTGAAGGGAATCAATAGAGTTTGACAAGTATAAGAGTGAAACAGACTGGGTAATGGTAGAAAGGAATATGAAAGATTACAGAGAGTGAATACATCTGTGCCATTGACAACGATTTCGAGCCATGTTGAGTTCTTATACTTCGTAGCACAAGTATGTGATCTTTCGTAATGACTTCGCTTCACTCAATAAAACGCGATTTTATTTAATAATAATAATAATAATAATAATAATAATAATAATAATAATAATAATAGGTAACCAGGTTTTGTCTCTCGTGTTAAGTGGTATAATAGCATGATGGGATGGGACAGTGGGATGCCTATGGAGAATACAATGATTGAACTATCAGAAATGTCTTTGAATGATGTACCTTTAACTGGTATCCTCTCCTAAAGTGATAGATGGTCAAGGATCTCGGTCGATGTTTGAGTGTACACTCATCTTCCAGCATATAACGGAATATCTCACACAATGCACCATAAGTGACACAGCTTGGTGTTTAAACAACAATACACGTTGAATCGAACCATAAAATCATTGAATACTTATTTGAAGTATAGATTTAAGTTTCTGCTCCCATTGCTGCTGAGTTTCAACGTTCTCGGTGTCACACTCTCTCTGTTTGTAGCACAAAAGGGTAGGGAAAAGACGAATAAAATTCAAAAGAACTACAGTGATCACAAATGTACCGAAGGAAGAAAGGAACGAAGGAGTACAACACACTTGAGCAGTCTAAACATTTTTCTTACTGATCTACAAATAATTCTTTCTGTTGCCAAACTCATAATCCACTATTCTTCAATATGCATGCAATCAGATGCAATCCAAAAACACAATCATTACGTGCCCTTTTGCCATTCACTAGTTGTAATCGACGAATTCAAAATTTGCCTCCTCATCTATGTGTATCTACCAGTTTGACTGCAACTGCGGGGCCAGCTACATTTGGGCGCGTACAATTAGGCAGGTTCATCATCGCACTTCCGAACATCATCATGCAGCATGATTAAGCAGAAAGGGACAAACAAGATCTATTCGTAGCTCTATTTCAGCACACCTAGTAGATAGTGAGCATAAAGTTGACGTTAATACAGCATTTAAAATTATTTATCGCATTCCTACTAATTTTAATTTTGCTCTACGAGTTCGTCTTCTACATACAACCATAGGAATCCACCTGAAGAACAAGCCAAACCTGTGCATGTTCAGAAGAACTTTGTACAGCCACTTTCCATACCTTGGCCATCGTTACATGAATGTACAACCCAGACTAGTTCGCCCCCCCCCCTCCCTCTAAATCTTCACAACTTATAAAAATCATAATTGTCCAAATTATTGTATTTTTTTTTAACCACTTCATATTTGATTGTATAGAGGATTTCATCATGAGCTGACATCAGTTAGAGAACCACTAGGAAACCAGCCAGGGAGTACTGGACAACTGTTTCGTCCTAGTTTGGGACTCTTCATATTTAACCACGTGTTATCCTTGTAAAATTAATTTATTCCAACCATTTCTACCTTTTAATTGTGTACATTAGTTTTCTTCGTTAATTATCACCCTTTTGCTTGACATTTTGAAACCGACGGACTAATTACTGTTAACAAACATATCAGTGCCACTTGATGATTGGTAAGCTGTTGTGTATTGTAATAAAAATGCTGTATATGTGTATTTAAGAGTAGAGTCAGAGAGAGATGAGGATCTAATTGAAAAGTAAATATTTCTTCGCTCGCTAAATCTTTCTGTCTTCTAAATGTCTAAATATGGATTTTTTTTCTATATTGAATTCAAAACTCTTTAATTCTCGAAACATTCAGATACCTCACACACACATGTCGGTGGCACAGTGGTTAGGACTCTCACCGACCATGCACATGGTCCGAGGTTCGATCCCCTGCCGACGTCCACCTGATATCTATGGTTGGCCTGCAAAATTTGGGCTACCGATATCCATGCTGAAAATTCCATACTTGTACCAAAAATACAGTGTGGAATCAAGCTGTAATCAGAAGTATTTTTAAAAATATCAATAAATAAATGACAAATATACACAGATATACAAAAAACATCGGCAATCACAAAGCGAAATTTAGTATGATGTATGACTGACTAACTCACCTGTAGTTTTTGGCACTCCTGCGTCACTCGATCATATTCAGCATTAGTTTGAAGACTTTGTTTCTTCAGCGTTTCTAAATCTCGTTTGGTTTGTTTGTGAGCTAGTAAAGTTATTGTTTTTCAAAAAATTAACGAAATAGAAAATTAATTAATCCTTTCTATGGGACAATTAGCAAAAGTATGTCCTGATCATGCGTTGATATCAGTAAGAGAAGCATATATGAAATTAGGGAGTACTGGACACTTGTTTCGTCTCTGCTTGGGACTCTTCATCAGCGATCGGCGTCCACTAAAACAGAAGCCACTGGTCAATCAATTCTAAATTCTGTCATTTCGCGACTTTTAGCACCAAATCTGCTAGCCAATGTTATTGGCCGATAACTGCTACCTTGTCATGGTGGTCGAGCTTGAATACCACAATGACCCAACATGCTAAACTGATTGGGACTCTGTCCCTGCAGGTCCTACCATGTCAGGAAGGTTGTTTCGATAGCGGTTAAACTAAAAGCAGTTACAATGGGGTACATGGGCTCCAGTATCCAATCGGATTGAATGGTGTATGAACTTACTTTACTTTACTTTACTTCGGCTATCTCCTACAGGAGGATGAGCCGGCTTCATGAACATCTTGAATCATCGCTGCCCAGGCGCGGCGATCTGATGCAAGGTTTTGCGACAGGGTTACCCAATTCTTGTTCCACATATCAGCCTTGACTGTACCAAGCTATGTTTTCAGCTGTCCACCCCTGCGACATCGCCAAGATGGAAATGGCGAGGGGTTTAGAACTGATTCGACCAGATGGTCATCTGGTCGGCGCAGAACATGGCCAAACCACCGAAGGCAACGTTGTTGGACCAGTACTGGAAATTTGGTTGATGTTGTAGAGAGTTCATGAAGTTTCATGGGAATTAGGTACGAGTGATGTCCCCAGCATCGCTCGGCCTTTTGTTTGAGAGTGCAGCTCTAGCCTTTACACAACCAAGTGTGACCTACAAGGCAGTAGGAGTGGAGTAGGGAGTCCACTATCCATTGGCAGCCAACCGGTGACCGGAGTCCGGTTCATACGCCTTTTTGAATGGGGCCAGACATCCGGGACATCCAACAAGCCCTTTGTCCAGACGTCTGCCGGTGAGCTCCGCTGAGCTTCATACGCCAGTCGTTGGAGGTTTGGAATCAGGGTTTAACCATCACCCCTAGACTGTCATCCAATGGACAGTCAACCCGGTGAAGAGCGCCGGGCATCCGCTTTTGCCTTCTCACTTCGGTGAAAAACAACTCCGCCACGTGAAGGCAGTGAGTAGGACTTCCTCAGGAGAGGCTATGTAAGACGCCCGGTCATATGGGAGCATTTCAAGAGGTGTACGGAGGGGTGGCCAACCCGCAGCGCAAGGCACCCATCCCCGACCATCCTGATGCTTTGGAGGCGTATGAACCCATATGGGTCACCGGAAACTATGGGAATGTAGCTCCTGACGCTTCTCCGCTGCCTTGCGGATTAGACTCCAAGTCAAAGGCTCGGGGGATGGTCCCTTAATAAAACCACCTGCTTCGGTCTGGGCGACCGGGCAGTATCTCAACTCTCACATAATGAATTGAATAAAGTAACAAACAATCGATGAGACCTATGGCGTGCTATTACACGTGTTGCAATTCCCTTCTTTCTTCTCTTCCCGATGATGGTTAACGAATACTGTTTGAACTTGTTAAGCATGACTGTTTTCTTTCCAGATGAAGTTCTTTATCCGCTCTCTACTTATATATACATATATACTTTTTTCTCTTTTTTTCTTTTGATCTATGTTGTTTTATTATTATTGTGTGGCGCATCCTTCTTGGTGCCACATTGTACTAAGTTCTTATGCGTTTCATAAATAAAGCTAATGTTATTGAGGATTTGTCGTCACAACGCAACTCGACGGACTCCACTAATCGCTTATTCCCTACCCACCTACTAGTCTGTCTGTCTGTTTTCGACATAGAACTTTGCACAAATGTGCGGAAGTTCAAGTCGCCACACTCCGTGTAGCACGCGAAGCAAGAGAAGAAAGTACAAGAAAAGCATAATAGAAACAGTGAGCAGAGGTGTGAGACAAAGGAGTAATAAAGAAATACAAAACAGTTTCATTGAAGATCATAAGTCACAGGGAGTGGATGCATCTGCGCCACTGAGAACGGTTTTGAGCCATGTCACCAATTGTTTCCAACCATAGATTTTTACCGTCCCGAGGACCCCAGCCTGGAAGTCTACACCTTTCTACGTGGCTTAGACCAACTGTTGTGGATTTCATTGACTGATGCCAAGTTTTTGTTTGACCGCCGCTAGCTTTTTTCCACCTACTAGACCTCCAAGTAACTTCGTCCTGTAGATAATAACCAGTGGGCGTGAGATTAATTTTTCAAAAGTTGGATCCCATTGGCCACTAAATCGATCAACAAGCTCACCTTTTAACCTGAATGTCTTCCGCCTTCGGTCCCTGTTCCTCCCTGGTTAAGGAGCATAGGTGCGTACTACTGTGGGATGAAACAGTCGCCCAGTGTTCCCCCTGCTTTTCATCAATGGCTATCCCCCTACTGATACCGATCCGTGATTTTCAAACCTAATACTAATAACCAAGTCTCTACAAACTAGCGTACTTGGGACATGTTTCTCAAGTACGAGACATACTCTTATTGTGTGCGGGCTAATGCTACTACCCAATTTTCGTATTCAAGTATACCGGTTTAAAATTGCTTTACTTAGCAATACTCCAAAGGCATGTTAAACAACACACAACATACTGGCGACACCTGAAAAGAACCACTGAAATCCAAGGAGTAGTGGGTAGCTGTTTCGTCCTAACAAGCAAGTGGATTGTGTGCCACAGAGCTTAAAGTTGACTTGTTTAACTGTCTATACGCAAATGCAAAGAGACTAAGTACTTGCTTCTTTTCCATGGATGTCATTTGTGGTCTTTGGAAGTGAAAGGTATGAAAGAGGTAGATGTCAGCAGTCACACATGTTCCCCTTCTTTCTCCCATGGTCAGTGGTATAATATGGTGAGCAATATTGAGGACATGTGTACAGTGTTAGTGTATGGAGGGGAAATCAATGGACCAAGTTGTGTAGGCAAATCGTCTGAGATACCAAAGACATGTTACGCATGCTGAGCAATCGCCTGACATACAGTTGACACAGGACTTTTTTGGAGAAGAGGTACGGGTGAGTGTTGTTTTCAGCCAGCCAACTACAGCCCTCACGACACGTTAAGAATCAACGTGTGGTTAAGACTGTTTAACCACTGATAACACTGAATCGTAAGTTGACACTGCCCGACTGACCTATATCTACAGTTCCCTAGGTGCTATTTAAACTAAAAAAACACAATAACACTCCAACTATTCAGAAACCTTAATCGATCCACCAGAACTTGGACCCACACACACACACACACACACGTCAAGCCATTAGTCACTATACAATAAGTACAGTGCATGGATATGCATACAGTTGCACAGACAAACTGCTTGACTGTTATTTAGATAGGGTGAAAGACAATAGATACTAGTCTGTCACTGTAGGGAATTAATTTAATGCTCATTAGCCGCCTCCAGGCATCTTAACCAAATGAATAGAGAGAAGACGGAGGCGATGGGGATACTCACACACCAACAGCAGCAACAACAACAACCAGCACCAATCAACATCAACGGGGGGGGGAGTTGGACAGAAGTTACTTCCTTCACTTATCTGGCTAGGAGGCATTGTTTCAACCACAGACAGTTAGCACGAATGAAGATGTCAAAACCAGCCAGTCAGAATCAGAAAGGCAAGATAAGCCTTCATCAGTCTGAAACCAGTTTGGAAATCTGGCGCACTTCGCCTCAGCATAAAGAACAAGATTCGGATTGTGTTCAACACAAATGTTAAGTTCCAACAAGCGCTACTGCAAACTTTTACCGACAGTTGCCTTCGCTCCGTATTGAAGATCAAATGGCTAGAAAGGCACTGGCAACAAAAAAAAACTCTGGGTAACGGACCAATTCAGAACCTACACTGTGCTACAACAAATAAACCGAGCAAAATGCCAGTGGATCAGACACACGCCACTGGAGGACACAGGCCACAGATGATATCATGCGTCAGGGCATCATCTCGCGCCCGAGTGAAACCTGAATACAAGACGACGAGTTGGGTATGCATCCGACGGTGACATAGAGGAGGAGATGACAGCTTAAAAGGGCAATCATGGGATCAGTTAAAAGAGTAGTGCAGAGAACATAGCAGAATGGAGATATCCTGTTGAAGTCCTAGGTCCTATTCAAAACCAAATGGAATAATAATATCTTAATCAATAACTTATATACGACTAGCAGTGAGTAAAAATCTGTTTTGTCATCCCGTTAAATCAATGCAGTATCAAAGTAAATCCAAACTTACTACCTTAAATGATAAAAGCAGCACAATATATACACATACACATAAAATGAGAAAAAGAACCACTAATCGATAAGATATTCACTAACCTTGCTCTTCTGATTCAAATTTCTTTGTCAGTTTCGACAATTCATCCTTCAGTGCTTCTACAGTATCCGGCTAAATATCATCAATTTGGTGCAGAAAAAAAGCCCAACAAAAACACAAAGACGATTTAACAAACAACATATAAACAGATTGTGCAGCAAGTTATATCGACTGTTGCTCTAAGAACTTGATTTTTCGTGCTCACTCGGCAACATCTCTCACTATTTGTGTTTTGATCAACAACATAACGAATTTTTTAAAAGAATGGATACTGAACAAAGACAACTCTTTCTGATAACTTCATCATCAGGGCGATAGACCAAGTGAGATAATTATGAGGAAATTAATAAAATCAGTCCAAAGTACTTTTAATGCTGGCGAACTACATGTCTTATTCTCTACATGACCGATGGTGCTACCCCGAGTGAAAGATCATAAGTACCTAGACTATCTGGCCACTTCAAATTGTATTTACCAATTCAACTGCGCTTGTGGGGCAGGTTTTATTGGCCGTTGCTCTAGGAACTTGATTTTTCGTGCTCGCTCGAAAACATCTCCCACCATGGCTAAGTAAGGGTTTACTGAAAACCATCAACAATTAACAGTTCGATATTAAACCACCTGGTGCGAACCGGTCGGCTACAAAGCCACCCAGCCAGCCAGCGTGGAAGAATCCTTCTCTATCACCATCTACCGGGTGTCTAATAAATTGCCAAAATCATCATCGAAGCATTGCATTCTCTAAACAACAGAGGGTATTGCAATTCGCCTCAAACAAGCAGTGTTCTGTGTTCATATGAAAGAAGCAAGTTTAGCCAGCCCCAACTACTGCCCAGCCCTGACATTCAGTAGAGACTATAAACTCATGAGTTTGTAATATTATTTTTACTAATGTGTTTTCTGACATTCAGTGTGTATTGTTATGTTGATGCTATTGAGCTGTAATCTATCAATATTATTGATTCGATGTTACTTAAACAGCAACATTAATGTTGTTCATAATACCAATTCATTCATTCATCCACTGTAATGTACATATAACTGTAGAGCCTGATGATGAAGGGGTTATCGAAAAGGGTACTCTTTGTTCAGTATCCATTCTTTTGAAAATCTCACTAGGCATTTTTAATCAGTTAAAATCAAAGTGTTTACAGGTCAACACACAGGTCTCGTGAACACGTTTCAAAAGGCTATAAACCAAATTGTAGCGAATAGTCTTGTCTTGTCTTGTCTAGTCTAGTCTAGTATAGTATATACACACAGTAAGAAATGCTACAGCATGAAATTTCTAATTGGATACTGGAAAACCTTCGGCATTGATGCAACACATTTTTTCTGCTCAGTACTTTTTTTATTTTTATTTTGGGTTACAGCTTGATTCCACAGTATTTTTGGTACAAGTGTGGAATTTTCAGCGTGGATATCGGTAGCCTAAATTTTGCAGGCCGACCATAGATATCAGGTGTGCGTCGGCGTGGGCTCGAATCCCGGACCATGTGCATGGTCGGCAAGAGTCCTAACCACTGTGCCACCGACGCAGTATAGAGATCAGGGTTCATCATAACACTTCAATGAGTGAAATCTTATTGACCGATTTAACTGCTCCTGTGGAGTGAGCCAGTTACTTGCATAGGCTGTACAATTAGGCGTGTTTATCGTCGAATTTCTGACAATCAGATTGTTCGAAATGTGTCACGCAAATACATCACAACACGATTCAGACAATTTACGTCTTTTTATTGCTTTATCTAAATTCATAAAGGGAACTATTTGTTTTAATATAACTATAGTCTGTTGTTGTGAGACAGTAAAAGCTCGCGTATCACAACGCCAAGTCTTTTCTCCTATCTCTGCGTGCAGGCAATGTTAATGTTGTCGAAATTAAATCAGAAATCAAGTATCCTGGACTTATTCTCTCTTTTGATCTCTTCTGGTCTTCCCATGTCTTAACGATTTCCAGTAAAATATTCCGCCTGACATTTTACATTAAGAAGTTAAGGCACTCGGGTATAACTCAACCCCTCTTCTTACAGTTCATAAACTCCTGCATCCTACCTATTCTTCTTTATTGTTCACCCTTATTCTTTCCTGGTTTGCTTAAAAGGGACTATGTCACAATTCGTAGAATGCTGAAGACTGTCAGTAGGATGAGTGGTGTCCCAGTGGACCACATAGTTAACGTCGTTGTCGATAGGCACTTGATTTCGTGCAATAAATTTGCTAGAGGGATTTTGTCTGACTTGAAGCATCCACTTTACCCTCAGCTTTCACCTTGCATCTCCTCAGATAGAACAAGAAGTAACTTCAGAAAACTGTATGCTCGCACGTTCAAGTATAGAAATTCTATGATACCATACTTGGCACGTATTTTATGTGATAGTGAAAATAGTGTCAGGCAAGAATTAACTTTTTTTCATCTAGTAAATAAACAATTTCCACCATCCATCCTTATATATTATTTCTATTATATTTATGGTCCTGTTGCTTCTTTGTTTTACTCTCATAATTGCAAACACCAACTTATCTCTATGACCGCTGTAATCTTTGTTTTTCCCTTCACCATATCATGTAAAGAGAACATTATATTCAATATTTGTAAACATGCTAGGATTTCTATACCGCATCGATAATACTGTGTGAAACAAGCCCATGGTAATTTTCACCTATATTATTAATATTATTACCTTAGCTGTTATCATTATCATTATTCCTATTATATATGCTGCATGTTTCTGACATTACCTCTATTGTAAATGTGTAAGTTTTCTGTGTGATTAATGCTGAAAATTCCATTCTGTATCACAAGTACTGTTTTTGGAATAAAGTAAATTATTATTTAACTTGTAGATGGTGACTAGCAGTGGAATCCAGGATGCGAATTTCGTCCTATTTGGGACTCGTCATATGGATGTACCTGCATTACTCAGTGAGTGATGATATTCCCACCGAGTCTAGTGGATAACGCTTCGGCGTTTGAAACTATGGGTACTGGGTTCGAGCCTCGGTGGGAACATCATCACTCACTGAGAAATGCAGGTACACCCAGATGATGAGTCCCAAATAGGACGAAATTCGCATCCTGGATTCCACTGCTAGTCACCATCCACAAATTAAATACTAACTAAATGCCCAGACATCGTCGAAGCATCTGCACAAGAAGCCGACATGTCAACCTGAGACCGAGCACTTCGGTTCAATCAACCGATGGGAAAATCTGAAATTCAATAAAAGTAAATTATTATTATTAATGACGTGTGATAAGGGCAGATTATTTAGTCAACCAATGGATTAAGTCTGTATTTTGCTCATAGTCTACACTAGGTCGTAGTTCCGGGGTCATAAAAGAATATTTTGCTTTTAAATAATACAATAGAATGGCAATTAATAATAATACTTCCATGAAATTCAACTTACATAAACATCTTCAGTATCACTGTCAGTCACCTTTGTCTCACTGAGCATACGTTGAGCTGCTTCCGATGCACTTTTAGCCTGTTTAATACTCGCCTCCATACTAGCCGACATTTGAGCATGCTCCGACAACAGGCAGACAAGACGACGTAAAACACTAAGACAAGGGGGAAAGGTAATTGTATGTGAGGTAGATTTACAACAACCTATAACAGGTTCTCATGTGATAACATTTAAAAAATCATGATACTGTGTGCAATAAAATTGAGTTATTTATAGTTCAGAGTGAGGAGAATGAATTAATTACCTGGCATCATCCTTTGATCTGTAAGGTATTAGTGAAATAATCTTTGCGTGATGACAAAACATGTTCACATGTAGCTCAGAAAACATAAAGAATAATGTTTCAGAAGTATATCGACTGGGCAACAATAAAGAATAGACATCATAGTGAAATTACCTTGAACTAGCCAATCAGATCGCTCGGGACTATTAAGTGGTTGATGATTGTAAACGTTTAGATTGCAGGTAATGGGTACTGGGTTCGAATCCCCCGTCTGAGTTTATTTAACTTTAGCAGCTGGATAGGCTCATCATCGCTTTACACAATAAGTGTGGCACAGGATCCCTTGGAAGTGAAAAATCTTTTTTTCGGGTAAGTGAGTTTTAACGACAGAAGTACGAAAGATGTCTGAATAACGTGTGTATGAACAAACGGCGGGTACCAGAACATTTTCAAACTTGGCGGGACTTATGGCGTACTAATAAATATTCATAAATTTGTTTGCATGACAACCCTAAGGTAAGAGATGTGTTCCCTAAGGAATAGTTGACTGAAATGTGTAGAAATAAGATAATAGACAAAATAGCAGGCAAGTTCGGTTATGAAAATATGGTAGTGTAAATACGGATTAAAAAAAAACAAATATAGCATGAACGAATTGAAAGTGTGGATAAGAATGGTAATGGGTTAGTCACTAATATAAAAAAAATTACCTTTTTATGGTGACCATGGCAAAGACAAGGGTTGAATGTGTTTCTTTTGGATACATGGAGTGGGTTTGAGTTAGCCTTTCGAAAAATCCTTAATAATTCGATCAAACTTATCACAGGGAGTAAAATTAAGACATCTGGAGTATAACCGAAGCACTAGCTATCCAAAAGCTCAAAACCACGCTGTATCCAAAAGAAATATATCCAACCACTAACCCTGTCATGGCCATCTTAAACAGGTAAATCTTCACATAATGACTATCCCATTATCTTCCTTATCCGAACTTCCTGTTAAGTTTTTCTCAATCCCTATTTACACTACCATATTTTCATATCCGAACTTCCTGCTTATTTTGTCAATTTGTTATTTCTACATATTTAATACCTGATTGCATAATCATTTATTCGCCACATTAGTTATGATCCCACTAGATTTTTTATTCAACTATTTTTTTATTTTTTGGTTACAGCTTGATTCCACAGTATTTTTGGTTCGAGTGTGGAATTTTCAGCGTGGATATCGGTAGCCCAAAATTCGCAGGCCAACCATAGATATCAGGTGTGCGTCGGCGTGGGCTCGAACCCCGGACCATGTGCATGGTCGGCGAGAGTCCTAACCACTATGCCACCGACGCACTGTCCTGAATTCCACTGCTAGTCACCATCCACAAATTAAATACTAATTAATTGCCCAGACATCGTCGAAGCATCTGCACAAGAAGCCGACATGTCAACCTGAGACCTAGCACTTCGGTTCAATCAATCGACGGGAAAATCTAGAATTCAATTAAATATACTGTCCATTTTGTTATTTCTAAATTTTTAACCCCTAATTGCACAATGTGTCAATCGTCTACAGTAATTATGATGCTACTTTGTTTGAGTTTTATCTGTCCCCCTTGTTTATTATGGCATTTTAATTCCTAATTGTAATTTTATTAATTTGACTCTTGACTAGAAATTATTCTGGAACTTCCCCACGCACTTATTATAAATATATGAATGCACAGCCTAGTTGACGGTGACTTCGTGGAAAAGAAAACTTTCTTCTCTGCAGCGGTATTTTTTATTATTCCTTATGATCACATGTGTGTATATTCCGTGATCTAAACAGAATTTGTGTGCTTGGGGAATACTACTTCACACGGGAGATAGAATGCAGGCACTTATGATCAAAGACAGCTAATCTTTTCATGTCTTCCACTGTCAATGGCTAGGTCTCACAGCTAGCCATAAAGGAGGACGGTTGCTTGGCCCTTATCTTCTATTGTTACACAATTATTATATCATTATTCATAGAGAATTCAAATAAATTTATTTCATACTAAAACACCTCAGTTGAAGATGTTGTTGTCTAGAAGGAGGGGGGTGGGTGACAACGAAAGCTTTGCACTTAAATCAACCAACTCAGAGAATACAACTAAATCAAAATAGAAAGTCAATTGAGATGGCTCCGAACCTTGGGCTAATTGCCTCAAAGTCCAGTGGTGCTTAATCCAATGCTTCAGAGCTTATGAAATCGTTTCTACACAAAAAAACGAACCAATAAAAATTCATTACCGGTTGAATATTAATTAAATGTATGAATCAGTTAGGTAAGTAAGACTTTCTCCTTAGGTCCCATGAGTTTCGAATGTGGAACATAAGGGGGTTTCAAGAGTTGGACTTTCAAGTCTCAATAGCAGTGGGTCGCGGGGGGTTGTCAGCCTTACCCAGCACAAACTTCCCTCTTTGCCAGGGTTACTATCGGCTAAGAGATCTGTTTAGCAACAAGCAAATGAGTAAGTAAACCAACCAAGAACCTATTGCTCAATGGAGATGGGACCGGACACACCACTGAGGAGACCGTCGAGTGGTGACATTGCCCACTAAGCCATAGCTCGAAGAGAACCCAAACGGGGAACGACGAGTTGGGCGTCGCGCTTTGAGGTTGACATGGGGGAGGTGGTGACTGAAGAAGGAGATCATGGACTATCGGCGATCGTGGGGAAAGCTAAAGTGGACTGCAGAGGATAGGACAAAGTAGAGATAGGCTTCGGTCGGAAAACGAACCCCGAACCACATGTTCGGCTGGTGAAGTCAGTTTAACATATATATATATATATATACCAAAACACTTTTATAACATTGTAAGTGTACGCAAAGCCTGTTAACTTACAACCATGTGAACAGAGAGAATCCACAAATATACAAATTTCTTTGTGCTCGGAACATACGCATCAAGTACAATGATTCTGTTTCAGGACGTAATTCATACGGATGAGCTTTTAACGTATTGTACGCTTGTTTTTGTGTCCATGAGTTACGTACTGCTTCTGTAAAACAGAAAGATAAAAAGCAAAAATGAATAAACAGACTGCCAACTTTTTAATGCATCAGTAGTACATAGTTGATACAACATAGTGGGATAATAATTGTCGATAAATTAAGAAATACTCACAGTTAATATATGTGTGAAACTAGGGCATTATGCAATGATAAACTTATTTATCTTTTCTATTGGATATACCTCGGTACTACTTACCTAGCGAAATGTAGATCTGCATAGACCGCGTACCAGCAGGACATTGTCTAAAAAAGCCAATGACCACTTACCAGCATGGTTGTCAAAAGAAGGTAGAACAATCAACAGCTCAGTTACGGAGCATATTATTAATTTTGGACAAGTATCAGCACCACAATACGGATCATCATTGAACAATGCTTGGAGTGGAAGTCACCTCTCTATCTCGCTTAACTTCATCGACTTTGAAAAGGCCTTCGACAGCGCTGCGTCGATCGAGAGGTGATTTGTCAACTACTTCGCTACTACGGGGTCTCATCGACAATGATACATCTCATCCAACAGTTATACGACAATGCTACATGACAAGTAATCCACAACGGGAAACTTAAGGAAGCCTTCGAAGTGAGGACGGGAGTGAGACAAGGCCGCCTACTATCTCCAATGATTTTCCTGATTGCAGAGAGACACACGGTGGGCAGCGGGAAAACCATCACGTGACATCACTAGACAAGCCATTACTCGAGTGGAACCCGAAGGGGAAGCGGCGAGTTGGTCGTCCCATGGTGGGGTGACTTGGCGGAGGTCATGTGAAGAGGAGATGACAGCATGTGGACAGACTTGCAGTCAGGTGGAAACTCTAGCGGAGAAACGAACGCAATGGAGACGCGCGCCTAAAGCCCTATGTTCCTTTAGGAATTAAGGAGAATAATAATAATAATCAGCACCAGCAGAGACTACCTTCAGTGTTATATATAAAGTATGATCAAATAGTTCGAAAGGATTTCGCTTGCATTTTCTGTCTAGTGTCCGACTTAATTCAAGTAAATGGTAGTTATCTGGGTTAGTGGGAAGCCGTGACCATTAGGGTACAGCTGGTCAGGTGTGAGGGGACAAACACTCGTCACCGATGGCATTCGCTAGTGGTCACTCCATATCGTGAATTGGCATTGGATGGAGCCCCAGTGGTTGAATGGTCTATGAGCTAGTTAGCCTTGTTAACTGGAAGGTCCTGGGTCCATCCATCCTGGGGGTGGATGCGTAATGATGAAGAGTACCGAAGTCAGACGAAACAACTGTCCAGTACTCGCTGCTGGTTTTCCAATTGTTTCTTTAACCGATGCTGAAGATGTAATCAAGCCTGATGATGAAACCTCTAAGATCATATATTACAACTTAGAACAACACCGAACTAATTCCAATCAATGATACTGAGGTACCAATCATTCTAAGTACTAATTTTATATAAGATTCCTGTTAACGATATAAAAGGGAATACGAAATTTGACCCTTTGGCTCTCACACAGTAGTAATAGTCGTAAAGCCTTGCATAAGTCACACGGAACTCAAACGAGTAAATGACGACAAAACCTTGTTACACTTTGGAAATAATATGACATGAGAAACAAAGCAATAACGAAGACGTAATCCAGTGAACAGAAAGGGATATGAGTAGTTTTAGGTAAACAATCACCTCTACCCAATGGGTTACAGACTGGTAACCTACTTGACCAAACAAATAGAATCTACAACCCTCACACTTCCCCTGGTTCTTAATCTGCCTTTGACCAAAGATGTCTGCGTTCAATCTGCCGTTTTATCTGGTGGTATAATAGAGTGAGTAGAATTGAGACTATGTGAGGAGTGTTAAGTAAGGAGGCAAATCTAGTCAACGAAGTTGTGGGATGGTTAGGACATATGTTATACATGCCTAGTCATCACCTTCCCCAACAAGCAATGCCAACTGACATAGGATTAGGTTGGAAAACAGCTAGCGGTGATTAGACCAAAACTTGGAACCAGTTCATAAAATCTTTTATTTTTATTATTTTTTTTACAGCTTGATTCCACACAGTATTTTCGGTACAAGTATGGAATTCTCAGCATACGATATCGGTAGCCCAAATTTTGCAGGCCGACCATTGATATCAGGTATGCGTCGGTAGGGGATCGAACCTCGGGGCCATGTGCATGGTTGGCGAGAATTCTAACCACTGTGCCACCGTTGGTTCGAACCACTTAAGGAGGTATACACTGTTTGGTTGGGGCCTTTAAGATGCCAAAAACCAGAGTAGCTGGAGACAATTACGGTAATATGGCTCAAGGTTGTTCTAGATGGCTCAGATGGATTCACCCTTGGTGATTTGCCGTATCCAGAAAAAGCCTGTTGTTTTGCCATGTAACTCATTCTTTCCTCGTCATATTCCTTCCTGCTTATTATTGTTCTTTTGAACTTCTTTTTAATCCCTTTTTGTCTCCCCTTGTGTGGTACTTCTATGCAAAGTTCTATGATGAAACCAATCAGTCAGTCAGTGAGAACAACAATCAATGACATCACGGATCGATATTACGTTTTTCTGTCGCGGTCTCAAACTCCTACCTAATCAACTAAAACCTACTCAGCTAACATTTCTCTATAAGGAGGACCGCAAATTTAAACATCCTTTCTACATTCAGCTATCAAGCTCTGACGTCTATAAAGTAGGAAACAGTGAACTACTGTACACCACTACACACGAACTTTGGGCAAGTAGCTGAATATTACAACTGTATCAAAGACGACGTAAATTGAATGAATTTTTGTAAGTAACCAGTTCGTTAAAGCTGGTACAACTTTTCAAATAAGTGTAATGACTGACACACTCAAGCATTTCATTGTTTACTTGGTCGTCTCATATCCTGACGATTTCTAAGAAAGTGTTTCGTCTAACCTACTACATTAAGAAACTTAGGCTAACTGGAATCACTCAACCTCTGCTTTCACAATTTGTCAACTCTCTTATCTTACCTATTCTACTTTACTGCTCCCGATTAGTCTTTCCTGGGCTACTGAAAAAGGACTATACCATCCTGAGAAGGATGTTGCAGACAGTTAGTAGGACTAGTGGTGTAAAACTCAGGTCGTCACTACATTAGTAGAAAGGCATCTGAATACATCCGAAAAATGGTCTAAAACCATACTCTCTGATCCCCAACACCCCCTCTATTACCAACTCTCTCCTTGTATCTGATCAAGTAGAACCAGAAATCAGTACAAAATAGTATATGCTCGTACAACCAAGTATAGGAACTCAACGATACCATATTTGGCCCGTGTTCTAAGTGACAGAGACAATGTTAAGCGGGAAACCTATGACTTGCTTTGTTGTTAATAACATAATTTTGGCTCTTTTTATTTCCCCCTTATACTCTCTTATTTTGTACTCTATAGTGAACAACCTTCTTAAACATACTTAGCTACTTAATATTATTATCACTGGCTTACTTTTTTGTACTTTATTGTATTCCTTCTTTTGTGTATCTACTGGTCTCGACCATATTATCACTATGAGTATTACAAAATTGTCCTGTCATTAACCATCACGTAATATTAGTTTTGTGATTGTTCTTTTTTGCTTGGCAATATTAACTGACAATCTTGGTTGTGAACGTCGTTATCACCATCTTAAAATCTTTGTATTACGCAAGATTAATCACACTACCACAACAAACACTGCATTAGTGCTGACTATAAAAAAAACCTGAAATGTTACTTTATGATTGTTTAGTGTTGTTCAATCAAATTAACGGATTATCTTGGCTATTAAAAATTCTTAAGAATATTTCATAACTTCTTGTATGATTATAGCTGTTACTGTTCACCACGCATAAACATATCATAGTTCCCGTTACCCAATACTGAGATATTATTTATTATTGTTGTTTATTTTCCTTTCTACTTGGTATTTTTTCGCACTTTTTTGTTATTTTTGTGTTTTTCTTTGTTTTTGTTGTTGTTGTCTTTATATTTATTTTTTAAATAAGTTCTTTTAAATGTTTGATAAAATTAGACGCAATATTATAGATGTGCTGAAAATTCCAAACCGTATCACTAATACTGTTCCTGGAATAAATTATTATTATTATTATCCGTGAACTAGGAGTCAGTGAAGAGCAGTCCTACACACCATTATTCTACAATTCACCAGGGGTACTGCGTATCACGCGCCCCCAAAATTCTATTCAGTATATGTTAAAATGAATTTACACCTTTTCAGTGCCTTCGTGTTCCTGTAGTTTCCGTTATGAACTATTCACATAAAGCGACAATAATCGGAAACAAAGTACTGGATAATAAATGTGTTCAACGCAGGGTCGGACCGACAGTTTAAGAAGTAATTCTGAGTGAGTGACTGACTGACTGACTGGTTTCAACATAGAACTTTGCAAAGTAGTGCAAATCACAAAGAGTGAATGTGTCTCTGCTCCAGCCATTGAAAGAAGGATTTTGAGCTATATTACCGATTGTCACCAGCCATCGGTTCTCATTGTCTTGAAAACCCCGACCAGACGACTGGCAGTGTACACCTCCCCCTACATGATTAGCTCAAACTTAACTGTGAGAGATTTCAAGGACACATTCCAAGTTTGGATTTGATCACCACTAGCTCTTTTCCAACATAATCCTATATCAGATCAGATTGTGGGTCAAGAAAGGCAATGACTGGTAATGCGTAACACATACCCTAACCATATCAATCAATTTACGTTTACAACCTCATCGATTACCTTCCCCTGCTTACCTAACAATTGATACCTAACCTCAATATTACCCACCCTATTATACTACCACCTAACATGGAAGATAGAGAACGCAGACATCTATAATCAAATACACCTAGCTAACCATTTCATATCTTACACTTTCAATGACTATGTCTCACAGCTATAAATGAGGACGGAGCCAACTGCTGAGTAGTACACATACGTCCTTTGGTTGACACCCGGATAACACATCTACGTCAAAGATGGCGTAAGTTGGTAAATACTAATCGAGCCTTTTCTATCAGTGCTGAGATTTGGTTAGCAATCGATCCGTTGGGTGGAGCTGATGCGGCTTCTCAAATAATAAGTCAGCTGGTTAACACACTCCATCAACCAATTCACTCCCTATCTTTAAGTTAAGAGTCGATGTAGCCCAGTCCTGCGGCATTACTGTCTCACATTTGACAGGAGCACGTCGTATGTCATTCAATCGAAAATTTCTGCTCAAGGTGTTCAGAAGACTCAGTAAATTATCAGCATCTCCACTTAAAAAGGATTATATCGTCTGCATATTTGAAGTCACCAAGATTATATCCTGGTAACAAGTCAATTCCTGAGTCGCTGAAGTCAGTTAAGGTACAGAAATAGGGATATAAGAATAGACCTTGTGCACTGCGGTAGAGTATAATTCCATTGTGCATACAATTTGGTTTGCTAGTCTCAGTGTCATACAGTAATATTTACTGATGACGTTTCGAGCACAATTTATTGCTGTTCATAATCATATCAAGTCATTCACACAACCTTCCAACTTTGTTTACATGATTCCACTATTTCTCCATAGAATCTACACCCAGCACTTGCAAGAGGAATGACTCATCACTAATAAAAGAAATATGGAAAATATTACTACCAATCAAATCAAGAGATGAGAAATAGGGGAATCATAGAGACGAAATGCGTCGGTGGCATAGCGGTTAGCACGCTCGCCGACCATGCACATGGTCCGGATTCGACCCCCAGCCAACGCACTCCTTTACCTCGCTAAGCCAGAAATAATGCTGGTAAAGAGGAAAGGTTGGGCATGAGGCTAGCAACCCCATCCTGTAAAATAAACCCTGCTACAGAAACTTCAAGCCACTAGCTTGAAGCCCTATGTTCCACTGGGGAACGTGAAGGAAAAAATACGAAGTTGGAAAATTGTGTGACTTCATATGATTATGAGCAATAAGTTGTGCTCAAAACATCATCTGTAAATATTACTCTGTAAAACTGAGACTTTATCAGAATAAATTTTATCTACATTGGAAGAAATGGGGATAGTGGCCATCCCTGATGGACATCACTAGTTGTCATCACTTCAAATGACAACTCTCCATAAGGTCTTACACCGCTGAGTAAGTTCGAGTAGTGTCTTGATTACTGTGATGTGATTTTCCAGCACTCCCTTCCCCGCTAAACATTATCACTGCACATCCTGGTCGGCAGAGTCGAGTGGCGCCTTTAGGTCAAGAAATCTGGTAATTGTTGGACGCCGCAGATAAGTATTCCCATGTTCCATTTAATGCCCGTCTGGTTTTCTCAACTTGATTCTCCTTGGCACCATCTAATCTACGCATGATTATTGAGTGTAGAACTTTAGATACCATATCAGTCAAGCTAATCCCTTTACGACTATCACAGAAAGACCTGTCTGCTTTCTTGTATACTGGGGTAATTAATGACTTACACCAGTCTCTAAAGGAACTACCTCTGATTCACAGACATTGCCTGATACCTTAGTTAACTCAGATAGCAATTTGTCACTCCTGTCCCTAAACACTTCTGGAGTCATTCCACCAAGTCCTGCTAACTTTTTCTCGTTCCAAATTAGGGAGCCCTTGTAACCTCAGTCACAAATAGTGCACCATTCTATACATTTCATTCAAGTGTTGAATGCTGGGCAAGTTGAACGTGGTTGTAGTCCACTTACACTACACTTCAAAATGTCCCCTTCCAACATTCCAGTCGTGTATCCTGGCAGCTAATATAAGGGAAGAACTTTCCTCGGAGATTGTCTCACTTATCGCTTGCTTTTGCCACCTGTTTCTGCGACAAGCCTAAATAGTTATCTGGTGTTACCTATCGCCAATGTCTTTTCTATATTTTTCACCCCCCATTTACCACCACCATTTGTTTACGGTCGTAGTAAAGACTTATGGTCAGTTAGCGTTTGAGCAGTTTTCACTCCTTATCCAACTCCAATCCCACTGGAATCAGATATAATCCACTTCATATTGTTATGCGAACTGATGATGAGTCCCTAAAGTGGTGGTAGATGCATGTACCCTTTTAAATTATCAACAGTTCCATGAGTGATGTCGATTCATGATGAAGTTTACTTTGAAACTACTACTAAAGAATGACAATCAGTACTTAAATTCAAAACAAATTGCATAGCAATACAAAAAACAACAGATATCACTCTAGAAAGGAAAAGACCCCCCCCCCAGACAAAATGAGAAGTCCTGAATCCAATCAACATGCTAAAAGCTGGAAAAGCACCAGGACCAGATCGAATCCCAGCAGAAGCATTGAAAATGGACCCAGAGACAACAGCGGACTTGATGACACCACTACTGCAGAAGGTGTGGAAAGAGGGCAAAGTACCCGAGGATTGGAAGAAAGGATACTTATTCAAACTACCAAAGAAAGGAGACTTAAGTCAATGTAAAAACTGGCGCGGAATTATGCTCCTGTCCATTCCAAGCAAAATACTAAACCGCATCATCCTGGAGAGAATCAAACAAGCCAACCTAGATGAAAAACTTCGACCGGAACAGGCCGGATTCAGGAGAAACAAATCATGTATTGATCAAATCGCCACTCTACGGATCATCATTGAACAATGCTTGGAGTGGAAGTCACCTCTCTATCTCGCTTAACTGCATCGACTTTGAAAAGGCCTTCGACAGCGCTGCGTCGATCGAGAGGTAATTTGTCAACTACTTCGCTACTACCAAGGGGTCCCATCGACAATGATACATCTCATCCAACAGTTGTACGACAATGCTGCATGACAAGTAATCCACAACGGGAAACTTACGGAAGCCTTCGAAGTAAAGACGGGAGTAAGACAAGCTAGTTGGCTGCCTACCATCACCAATGACCTTCCTGATTGCAGTATATTGGATAATGCGACAGACAACGGGCAATGAGGAAACAGGCATAAAATGGACTCACACAAAATCAACTTGGAGGATTTGGATTTCGCCGATGATATATGTCTGATTTCCTACAAACACTGGAAGATATGCAAGTGAAGAGCAACAAGTTGGCACAAGAATCATCAAAAATAGGACTTCAAGTGAACATAGAGAAAACAGAGGTGATGAAGGTTCTTGGCCAACACCAACAACAACAGACAACAATCAGCCACCATAAATGGGAGGAATCTGAAAGAAACAACCTCCTCTACCTACCTGGGAAGCATCGTTTCAACTACAGGCAGACGGAACTGACGGGGATATCAAAGTGAGGATCAGCAAACAAGACAAACTTTCATTACTCTTAAGTCTGTGTGGAGGTCAACACCACTCAGAATCAAAAATAATATCCGTCCGGATTTTCAATTCCAATGTGAAGTCAGTCAGTGCTACTATACGGATCAGAGACTTGGCCAGCGCGTCATGAACAGCACCTCAAACAAACTACAGACCTTCATTAACAGATGTCTTCACTTAATACTCAAGTTCAAATGGTCGGTCAGAAAAGATCAGCAACAGGGATCTCTGGCAATCAGCGAACCAACCCAGCAGGAACCGATTGTTCAACAAATAGGCAGGAAGAAATGGAGATGGATTGGCCATGCTCTGAGAGAACAAACTATTGAGTGACATCACTAGACAAGCCCTCGTGTGGAACCCGTAAGGGAAGCGGCGAGCCGGTCGTCAGTGCGAGGGTGACTTGGAGGAGGTCATGTGAAGAGGAGATGAAAGCATGTGGGCAGACTTATAGCCAGGTGAAAACTCTAGCAGAGAAACGAACGCAATGGAGACACGCGGTTGAAGCCCTATGTTCCTCTAGGAATTAAAGGATATAATAATAATAATAATAATACTTTTTTTCACTACTTACCGGCTAATGCACAGGCCAACATGACAAGAAATAAATTGAAGTAGAAGGATGAATTTACAGCAATTTTCTGGATGATGCTAAATTTAAAAAATCTGCTCCATCTATATTTTATTTTTTGCGGGAATAAAAAAAGATTTTTTTATTTAAGTCTTACGTTCGTGATGAAAAAAGCGGCAAGATCATCATGAGAACAACGAAACCCTCGCCAAATAGGAAAGCTGAAACTAAATGCCAAAGCATTTTTCTATTTTCTACAAAAATATGAAATAAAATTGAGAGGAGAAACGGAAATATGTATATAATACCATGCAAATTACAAATTAGGGGATATAAGAAAAACGAAAAAGTTGCTTCACAATATTTTCTTTACATCAGTGTCATTTTTACACAATTTAAATGACAAAATACAGATGAAAATATTTACAGCATATGTAGCCAGACAAACAAGACAAATGTCTTTAAGGATAAATAATAAAATATAACATAAGTAAACTGAACCCATAACAGACAGACATGACAATAGGAATAGTATACGAATAACAGTTTTCGACTTGAAAGAACCTATAAACATGAAATAGTGCATAAGATTTTCATTATTATGTAATGAATTACTTAGTAATATCATGAGACAGTAGTAAATCATCCCATACACTGGATTTCTTTGTGTTAAGATGACATTCCCACTAGAAGTTCCAATTGGTAATCCAAGTCCTCGTCCATACCAAAATAAAAATAGAAGGAATATTGTCTACAGTGTCTTACTTTGATGTTAGCACCTTCGAACAGCTCATACTTTCGGAGATATCACAAAGAGCACGATATTCTTGATCTGCCTCCTTGGAATACTCAACATACAATGCATATATGCATATTAATATACCAAGGATACAAAAGAAGCGTATTGATCTCGAGGTTTTCGTAGACATTTATCGAGTTTGTTTTTTGTTTAGTATTCTGCACAAAAGCGGAAAAATGTTACAAAATGTATACTGGTGTTTCACTAAAAGCACCAACCTACATGATAAAGTACACTGTCTAATTATATTCACCCAGGAGTAAATTCTAATATTTACCACCGATAGTTGCTGTTCGAGATTAAATTACGATACAATCTACGTATTTGTAAGGCAAACAGTCTTAGAACCTGCTATACATATCCAGAATCTAAATAGTTAAGTCGTTTACAACCAAAACACAACAGAATGAAAGTGTACAAATACTAAGTTGCAGAAGCATGCACTACCAAATTGAGAAATTAGTTTTAGTTACGAATTCTAATGACGTTGGTAGCATGCGTCTAGTCCTTCGTTTGGTATATACTGAATTATATCAGTCAAGTTTGTAATGTGGCCAGTATACGAAGTGGATCGTCACCATGATCAATTCTAGATTATTGAGAGATGACTGGATGCAATTGGTAGGAAGGCTAGGATCTAGATTTTGTGCTTGTTGGTACTCGTCAGTCAGCAAGATGTATCTGCAATTTTGAACGAACTCACGTCCCTTCTGAGATTCGAACCTCGGTGAAGCAGTGTTACAGTCAGGGACGTTACTACTGAGGTATTCAGGCTTAAGAGAGACCCACTGCAGGAATGTAAAGGACACTAGTTGGATAACAAATAGTAACCGATATTAAGCGTCTACTTCCTAATTTGATGGTAATTGAATTTTATCAGTGTCAATAGCGACATGAATTCCATCAAGACGACACACGTTTTGTTGACGAGTGTCAACAAGTACAAAATCTAGATCCACGACTTCCTGTTGATTGCCACCAACCATCTAAAGCTTCACTCCCAGAAAAAGTTGACAATCCTTGTGAACCTACATCTTAACGAACTGCGTAAGAAGCACTCAATACTCCATATATAATATTTTACCTGAATAGAAGTGAAATGCTTAAAACAACACAATTCAATCGCTGAAGCTATTTGTTGCAGCGATAAAATACACCATAGCAGGATTAGACAGCATGTAACCAGCACTTCATGTGAATAGAAATCTCTGGCGATGTCACCAGAATATTTGTTATGGCCAACAAACATAACTTATGAAACAAACCATCTTATGGCAACTAGCTTAACTATGCGGTTCAAGAGGGAAGAGAAGAACTCAGATAGCTCCACAAAGTATGTCAGTGGTAAGTGAACGCCACTAAGACAGTATCTGACAAACCCCCAATCTTTCAGTCGATCTTAGAAAAAGCCTCCAAACTTTCGTTACATTGCTGGACACAAAACTAGAGTTCCACGTAAAACCCAAGCTTACAACAATTCCAAACTTATCCTAACCTATTCTCTGATAATGCCTTTTTAAGGTAAATGGAGTTTTTATCTACCCATTATCTTCTTAAATAACGCCGGTCGCGCTTAAAAAGAGAGCTGGGTGGTGAATTAAGTCTTTCTGTTCTGAAGTAACGCTAGTCCATGCTTAATATGTCCGGTGAGTGCTGAAAGAACGCTGATAAGCAAACCCAGTAGGTTCTGATCTACTTCTAAAAATGCCTAGAATAAGAACACGGTGCTGCATTAGTGCCAGTCATGCTGAAATCCAGTATTGAGTTCTAGTCTATACCATTAACGAATCCATTTCACAACAGATTCAGAATTTACTCACTACAGAATGTTAGAATGATTTCAGAATTAGTGAGATTTAATTCAGCGTTATAGTAAGCTTGGGCGAGTCAGCCGGTGGACATGAAAATAACTCCAAGCTAACCATAGCATAAAGGAAAATTGGCTCAACATCAGTGAGAACTGATGGTCTGCTTCACCACAGAAATGTGAAGTAAAACACCGAACACGTCAACACGACACTTACATCCAGATGCTTTGAGAAGTTCAAGGTTATTCCAGTACCATCCCAGGGACAGGACGTGGGCACAATTCACTGAAGAATACAACTAAAACAAAAATTGGACAAGCACAAAATTTCATTTATTTTGAGAGGTAAAATTAGCAGACAAAGATCAAAAGTCCTGAAGAAGCTGTTAATTTATTTCCCTTGGGATCTTTCATCAACTTGGATTTTTACTCTGATATTTTGTAGTTGCCGACCACGCTATTAAGTCCCCTACAAGTGTAACATATTTTAGACTGTGAAGTGGTTCAGGCCTACCTATTTATTTTTATGACTCTGAATGTTACTGTCCTGACAGAGTAGTAATCTATATGAAACTTGGTTATTGTGATATGGGACGCATTCATTTTACTTTAGCATCTAATACGAACTTTTTGTCAGACAGTTTTCGGTGTCTTCTAACAACAGTTTTAAATATTTGCGCGAGAATCTTAGCGTTGAATGTTCTTCTACCTGTTCACTTAATTTCAAATAGACCGTCTAGTCCTTTTGTTAAATTCACACAAATGCAACCTCCAGTCTTATTATTTGAGACAAACTAGTGGTGCGATTGTTTTCCGGGTGATTTGCTATCGCGTTTGATATAGTAAACCTTCCACCCACTACCCGAACTGATTAAATCAGTTGATTCCCAACTACTATTATCTTAACATGTAAATTTCACCGGGCAAACCTCAGCCCAATAGTATTACTACATGGATGTGTGTGATTCTTGCATTTCTCTTTCCTTAGATTTAGACAGGTTCATGAGGATCAACAGTGGAATGTGCATTCTTTCAGTAGTCCAAATAACGAGACACTATATCGGTAACATGTGTCCCTGAGTATATTTTCCAAATCTCGTTTTGCAACTCTTATATACACTAAAGATATCTTTTTTTCAGTTATCCCCAAGCGTAAAATTTTACATCTCACCCATTCTGCGCAGCTTAAATAATCTGTTCAGATACCTGGACTCCTGATTTGTTTGACATCTTGAAATTCACTTCAGTGGCACTACGAATTTCTTGTAAGACGATACTTCATATTGTGCAAACAAACATTTCCTACTGCGAAAAGTTTCAATGGATGTCGCAGGTCAGTGTAAGACTGAAAAATTATAACACGACCTCTACTACCTTCGAACTACTGTCAGAAGAACTAGCATCAAAATATATCCTTTATTCACTTGTGTAGCGAGAAATATTTTTCAAAATGCAGGACCTTCACGCTAAGAACCACGAAAGAGGAGTGGAAGACGTAGTGAATAGGGAAGTTTGTAGTCGTGTCCACTGTGGCTCATTTGCGTTCCGGGACTAACGCGGAAGTTCCGCTGACTACAGGCATTCTAGAGTAGAAAAAGCTGCTAGGATAAGTCCCATCAGACTTTTCATTCTGTGACAGAAGGTTCGACAAAAAAGTGGTTGACATTCGCTCCTACTACGCCACCTTAAACTCTTTCTTTGTGCTGGTTACAGGTACATCTTCGGAGTTCATAGTTCAGCCACAGTAGCCAGTTAAATCCTAAAATCCTTCCTCTACATAACCTTAAGCAATTTGTTTCATATCACTAGAATACATCTCCAAAAAACTGGGAAATTTTGGATTTTGCCTTGTTATCGAAGCTGGTTAAACCGATTATCAAGCACATTTCGTTCGGCAAGGCTGGTATAATGTTGTGACAACAAAAAACAAGGGCCAGGCAGCAGATTGTTTATTTAGAAAATCAGGAGTTGTTAGTAAGTTTTTTCATGTACATTATTGTCAGCGGAGAAGCCACATTTTCCGATTGATAATTTTCTTGCTGAAGGTTATTTTGTATTGCTTGTGGCATTTTCTCAGTGTGCCAAAGTTTTATACTTATATCAGTTTCTCAGAAAGCTAAGCCGTATATCTACGGACCGTATTTGCACACGTTAAGTCTGCTGTGATTGGTTGGCGAGTACCTCAAGGTTAAACTTTGTTCTTGTTTTTTCTCATGACCCCTAATCAGGACGTGACATCGACATAAATTGATGTCCACAATTTTGACTCGTTCGCGTCCAGCTCTCACCGCAATGTAACACATCAGTAACACAGATGGTACCTCACAAACAGAGAAGACCATTTTCAAGATTTAGCCCGGTTCCATTTTTTCAGTATTCCACACTAATTGATCACTACCCTAGCATTTCCTCTTACGTTTGTTTTATTTCTGTAATCGTGATATTTTATAATACTAAATCAAGACAACCTTTCATGCGATGGCTGCAAATGATTCCTAGGCATTCAATAGAGTTGTTACCACATTTCGCCTCCTGCGCACACCAACCACCTACACGATTGTCTCCTATAACAGCTCAGTTAGTACTGTGGCGTACTCACTCAAAAGAAATTATATTTAACTTGGTCATTGTGAGCATCCATGAATACGTTGCTAAAAATTTTTCCAAGATCATTGAATATCCATCATCAAATCTGAAAGATCTATTTAGATTAAAACGCATCAAGAAATCTGAACCTACTGACCGATAAAAGTTGCAGGAAACTTCCCAAGATGTTCACCATGGGGAACTCAGGCTCACCCGACTGATATGTAATTCGGGAGGGCTAGTTGTCAGCCAAGCCTCGTAAACCGTTAATGCCCAGCTCTTGCTGCACTCGGGCTTACGCTGTCGCTTGAAGTTTCTCAGAAACGCTTAATAATAACGGACGCGAAAACCAAAACACCGATTGGCCACTTGAGAATTCTTTATTGTAACACCAACATATAAAAAATGTTACCATTAAGGTCTGTGAACAAATATT